TCATGGTCTTTTATCTTTAATAAGGCCAGTCTACTGCTTTCTTTGCTTCATAAATTATAAAATCAAAACTTGGAAATTCTCCTTGAAGGGACTGAATGATGCGGAAAACAATTGTTGAAGGTGTAATTATATAAGTATTCGCAGAAATTCAATTACATACATAATATTAAAAAAACGTTTTTTATAAATTAAAAAGTTACACAATCCTAAGTCACATGGTATAATTTTCACATCACACGTCAAATCGTTTAATTTTAAACGTGAAAATTAAAATTTGTTGTAAGAAATCAAAATTTGGTTGAAGAAATGACTAAAGCATTTGAAAATCTATCATTATATGGTGGCTATCATCTATAAACGACAAAAATATGGTGTCTTCAAACTTTTATAAATCATAAATTAGAGTGACATTTGATAAATGTGCTAGAAATAACAAAAATTAAATTTCAAAAAAATCGTACATAATAAATATTACTTTTTAATTTATCAAACTGTAAATTTTTAACCTATTTATAACATAGGATTTTAGCTATGAACATTTGCCTCACTACTTCTGCTATGACTGAAGTTTGAAATGAATAAGACAAACCCTGCACAAGGTACTAGCCAATTGGTTAATTATTAGTCGATCATAGACTTATTTAGTAATTGTATGACGTGATGGAAAGTATGAGTCACATGATACAGATTAAAGTTTAGCCAACAAACCTTTTTAACTGTTAGTTTCTTTTTTATTTAAATAATAAATCAATGAAGATTTATATAACATTTAGATTCCATTTATCTTACGAAGCGTAAACTTTAATAACGTGTACATTCATCAGCGTTTGGCAATACGACATATCAATAAATGGACCTAAATGTACAATAAATACTAAAATCATTGCGAAAAGAGAAATATTTTTAATGTTTGTTATTAAATCATTAAAAATTTTTAATTGTGGAAAACTCTTTAAAAGCTACCTTAATAGAATCTTGTTTCATATCCACGATTTAAATTATCCTCCGATTTTTTCTTTCTACATAATGCAACAAACCTTCCCCCTTAATACACACCATACACATGGTTTATTGTTCTTATTGTTCTCCGATTCTTTTCCGTTTCTTTATTTTCTTCGTTAATTTCTAAAAAAAATTTCAATATCATTTTCTTTCATTATAAATAAACCAAAAATATTTACTTTCATATTTATTATACCATTCCCCCTTATCTATCCCTTGTTCTTTGTCCCCAATACATAAAATTAAAGAAAAATAAACATATCCTCTTAATACGTATTCGTAAAAGGATTTTCAATCTATGTAAATTGAAAAATTTCAACTAAATAAACATAAATTATATATACAGTATACCAGCATTTCAGAAGATTAGGCTCTATCTAAGTAAAACTTTTTAAATCAGTATTTATATTTTTTTAGTATTAATAAATTGACACAAGTACTAGTGCCCAAATGGTTGTGAACAAAATAATCATGTTTATAAAAAAGTAAATCTAATGTTTCCATAAAAGTGTTAGCTTTTAAAAGATGATGATTTCTACCAAATTTGTAGATTTATACGTCAGTGATGACTGTAATAAAATATCATGTTTATAAAAAAGTAAATTCTAATGTTTCCATAAAAGTGTTAGCTAAAAGATGATGATTTCTACCAAATTTGTAGATTTATACGTCTAATAAAATAAAAAACTATCGTGAATTTTTACAAGCATCTGAAAAGATATGTTTAAAATTATCATCTATATTTCAATGTCTTATTGAATTGTCTGGTTTCTATATTTGTAAAATGTTTAATTTAGTTTATTTAATTGATTCGTTTAATTCAACGCCCTAATCCTCATTCTGATACTTATTATTTATATTTCAGCTAACGCTAATTATTGAGCGATTATTTGCATAATTCATTCGAGATTCAGGTGGTTTATATTTATTTACTGAATAACTTCTGATTAAATTTTTTTGAATTCTGTAAAGTTCGTTATAACTGTTTCAAATTATCAAAGCTATTAATCAAATTGCAGTTTTATGAAAGGGATTTATTTATTTTTGATGCAATTAGTCAGATTATTAATGAATGACAATTCAATTGACATTTTCTGACTCGAATTAAATTTTTGTCTTGTCATTTAATCGAGTATCTAATTACATTTAAAGCTCAAAATTTAGTTGTCACAGAATTGCCTTAATTTATAAGTTACTTAAAATACACAATACTTATTATAGTTTACTCAAAATCTCAAATCAATTCAACCTAAAATGTATTATTTTAACTTAGAATATTTATTGTTTAATACGTCGTTGAATTACATTGTCGAAGTAAATGATTGTATACAAACTAGATATATTAATTCCGGTATGTAGAATTAGCAAACAATTTAATTTACCGTGATAATGGCGAAGAAACTCTATGACTAAAAACTAGTTTAATTCCCGTAGTAATAAACTTACATTCTATTGATACACAGATACTGTGAAAATGAAAAAGAAGTATTTGTAATTATACTCCAGACGATCACATTTGTATTATTTTTTACGTTTCATTTCAATATGTCAGTTTTTTACTCTTTGACCAATGCTTTCCCCATGTTTCAATTTAACTCTTGATGCGATACTATTTTTATTGTTATAATTCAAAAGTTTACTAAATGTTTTTTTTTCGTTTTTAAATACGACAATTTTGACTTCCCGTCCTATCAAAAAAATTAATTAGCTTTTGTACTTACAATAATGAATAAACATAAATTACATTTACCTTTATTAGAGCGACCTATAGATTCCAACTTATTAATACATTCTTCTAAACTTCTAGACTCTAGAGTTTATACAATCTGTCACAATTATACTTGCCGCCCATTTAAAATCCCCTCCCATCCCCTCCCCTCCCATCCCATATCCCATCCCATCCCAAATCCCAATCCCAAATCCCATCCCATCCCAAATCCCAAAATACTTGTGTAACATTTCTACCATTGGCCAATTATCACGTGACGTTACACAAACTTCCAAAAAAAGGAAATTTTGCCTCCCGCAAAAAATGGGCGGATTTGGTTTCACAAGTATTCCAAAAAAGGAAATTTCTATGCCGATCACATAATTCCGGCCGTAATATTTTAGTTTTCGAAGTCTAATGTTAATTCAGGTCAGAATTTAGTTTAAATCCTTATCCTACATACCCCAATTTTTAAGAAATTTACCGATCAGATTTTAATGAAATTTATATCATTGGATTTGTCTCGATGCAAGGAATTTAATGGCAGTGAAATTATATTTCCAACATTAATATTGACTAAGTTATTATAAAAAATGTATTTTATAATATATATTATTAAATAACATGTATAAAGCAAGCAATAATTGGTTACTTTTAATATAAAAAGTTTTTAAAATATATTTATTCAATTTATTATTTTATATTTTTTATTACAATTTAACTTTGAATTAACTTAAACCTATCTATTAAATCATCAAAAAAAGTTTGATTATTTATTTCTAATATATATAATTTGATAGATATTATTATTATTGCATAAATATTTAATAAAATAAGGATAAATCTAATTGTAACAGCCTGTTAAGCGTCTTATTTGTAACAACCCCCAATTTTATCCAATTAAAATTTAAAATCAGGCGTAATGTAAACAAAAACAAAAGATCAGTCGTGTAACTAAGATAAAAGAATTTTTTAAAAAATTTCAAGAAACTGCTTATAACTTAAATTTTATCTATGAAACTGTCTTAAGTACATTAAGTAAAAGTTTTCCAAATTAAATTTTGCATATAAAAAATTTATTTGTGAAACACATATTAAATTTATTATTAAAAAAAATAAAAAAAGGATGTTACAAATAAGATATGTAACAGGCTGTTACAAATACATTTTTTCATAAAATAATATTTACAAACCAGGAATTAATTTACTGTTAATCTAAAAAAACAATATCAA